TTCATGGCATGAGGGAAACAGAGCTGGGAGCTCTCTCCAGGAGATGTTCTTAAAGCCTATCTCCAGGCAAATATAAAAAAAGGACCCTTGCAATGGGGTACCCCCATGTACTGCAAGGGTTAAGTGCTTGTTTTGATCACCTAACCAACCGCTCAGTGTCTGCAAACTCCCTCTGCCAATCCCTGCACTGGCTTCCAATAGCCCAAAGGATAAAATTCAAAATATTAACAATCAGTTACAAAGCCATCCACAACTCTGCCCCCGGCTACATCTCAAACCTTGTCTCAAAGTATCACCCTAACCGTTGGCTCCGATCTTCTCAAGACCTCCTGCTTTCCAGCTCCCTTGTCAACTCCTCCCATGCTCGCCTCCAGGACTTCTCTAAAGTCTCTCCCATCCTCTGGAATTCTTTACCCCAACCTGTCCGTCTGTCGCCCACCTTGACTGCCTTTAGGCGATCCCTAAAGACTCATCTCTTCAGGGAAACCTATCCCACCTCAACCTAACCGCTCGACTATCACGTTCTCAAACAATTCATCCCCACGCAGCTCCCTCCTCATGTATCACTTCCCCCTCCCTTTTAGATTGTAAGCCCTCAGGTGCAGGGCCCTCCTTACCATCTTGTCTTGAATTGTATTGTGATTGTAATGTCTGCCCCATATTGTAAAGCGCTGTGCAAACTGTTGGCGCTGTATAAATACTCGATAATAATAATAATCTAGGCGCTGGAAAAGGCAGACTTACTTACCTGATCCCTACTCCTGCTGGCTCTCTCTGGGCAACCATACATGTCCGCGCAGGCTCTTCTCCCCTTCATTGTTGTATTCTGACATCCACTGACGCCGGCTTTCAGAATATAGTAGCAGTCACGAGAGTTTCCTCCATCCATGCTTAGGGAATTATTTATCTTGTTCAGTCCTGTGGAACAATCTTAAGGTGAATGTCTACCTTTACGGCTTGTTCACACCATTGTGGTGCATTAATCGCATGGTTCCATGCGATTTACGCACCCTACTGCGCAATAAAATTGCAGGAGGTGCATTGCATTGCCATTTATTTGAATGGGACTGCAAACTCGCCTCCTGCCCACTATGTGATCGTCACACCACAACACGTGGTACCGCAATACTGTTCATTGCGATTGAAAAAAATAGTGCATGCACTATTTTTTGCAGTAGCATGGCAACGCATTGTATTGTGGTTGCATGGTAGGGTTTTGTGGTGGTGCATGGTAGGGTGCAATAATCACAGGGAACTGTGTCATCAACGCCCCACAATGGTGTAAACCAGCCCTTAGTCAGGTAAGGGTACGGTGAAACTGCGGAAGGTAGATGCGGGCCGGACTCCATGGCAGCAGCAGACTTTATTTTGTATATCCCTTTTTAAGGCTGCATTCACACCAGCGGTTGGATTACAACGCACAGCGCTGTTGTGCATTAGCTGTCACAGTGCCAATGCGCCAGGACCGGCACCGTTTACCTTTCATTACATGTCATTAAGCTCTATGGGCACACTGCAGTGCCAAAAAAAACAGCCAACGCAGCCCCAACGTACCGTATATACTCGAGTATAAGCCGTCCCGAATATAAGCCGAGGTACCTAATTTTACCACAAAAAACTGGGGAAAAGTATTAACTCGAATATAAGCCGAGGGTGGGAAATGAGGCAGCTACTGGTAGATAGATACCAATAAAATTACATGAATATTTATTTAAAAGAAAAATAACCTAGCTCTGCCAAGAGATTTGTAAAAAAAAAAAAAAAGCCCCACAATGATGTCCAAGTTTCTTCCAAGTAAAATACAGCTGTGTGACAGCATGAGGATTGTGCATGCATCCATTAGTCAGAAGCTAGTGCGCAAAGCCTAAATCTTAACTCCAGGCAAATGGCCAAATACACATTTAAAATGCATATTTGGGAGATGTTTTATTTGCCAAAGGATTTGTAATTATTTATGATGGTCCTGACGTTTTCACAGCCCTGCGAGACAGCAGAGCCAGATTGGCGACTTGACTTTTCTTTACTGCAGTTTTGCATTACAGCTAAGTCCCCTTTTTGCCCCCAACCTGCTGACTGGTTAATAAGGAGCAGCAGAAGACTGATGAGTTCATTTCCCTGCTCTGTCCTCCCTTCATCATGCCCCTTGTAAGCACATGTTCGCTGCAGCACACTTGATTGGCTCTTAGTGCTCTTCCTCCCTCTCCTAGTCAGACTGCTGCTGTACAGTGGATTCCAATATGCTGATTCCAAGGCGCTTTCACTAAATTCATTTAAAACTACATTTCCCAGTTTAATTGATATATTCAGTGCTGGATTACTATCAATGGAGCCTGTAGGCACAGAACCATTAGCACTTGAAGCAATTCCCCATGTTATGGTCACCCTTTTGCAAAACAAATGTTCTTGTCTTGCTGGTCCTAACTTGGCTTAAAACATTGTGACAACGTGTAAATAATGGCCTATGAGATGACTATATTGCTGCTGAAGAAAGCCTCTGTGGCCTATAGGCATGTGCCTACTGTGCTTCAAGGTTCAGTTGCCTCTGAATACTTATTTGCATTTCTTTGTGTTTTCTTCATATCTACCCAGAGAAAACAGGAAACTGCAAATATTCTGTTTTAAAGGATACAGCTTCAGTCTCCTGGGGTTGTATCTGTTGCTCCCAGACCTCGTACTTCTGAATTCACAGGACGCTGTTGTCATTTGTGAATCCCAGTAGAAAGTTTTTTTTAGTTTTTATGTTTAAAGTGAATTTATATTCTTTTTAAAACTTTTAGATAAGCAGTAAATGTGAGTGTTATATCTAGACAATAAAATGTAGGTTAAAGCATTGTGGGTTAAAGCTGCAGCATACTCCATCATCACAAATATAACTCCCCCCTTTACACACACACACACACACACACACACACACACCCCATTAATATACTGTCCCAATTCCCTGTGGTCCTGAGACTCTCATGCATATGCAAACAGTTCTGCCAAACGGGAACACAAACAACAGGAACCCTTTAAAACGGGTCCCTAACTGTTTTGGCTGAACTTCCATTGAGTGACCCAGTACCTAACTCCTAGGTGCCTTTTAAACCAGCTTTTTATGTATAAAAAGCAAATAAGCGTGTCAATTAGGGATGCACCGATACTAGTAATGGTGCCGAAGCCGAGTATTTGGGCGAGTACGAGTACTCGCCCAAATGCTCTGATAACCGAGCTTCTGGTATCAGGAAGGCTTCCTGATTGGCCGGAAAGCGGGCTACATGCTCCCTCATCACCTTGTGATGCTCCCTCATCACCTTGTGACGGGGGAGCATAGAGCCAGCTTCCCGGCCAATCAGGAAGCCGGGCGCCGCGTCATTACACGACGCCCATCTTACTGATTGGCCAGAAAGCTGGCTCTATGCTCCCCCGTCACAAGGTGATGAGGGAGCATCACAAGGTGATGAGGGAGCATGTGGCCCGCTTCCTGGCCAATCAGGAAGCCTTCCTGATACCAGAAGCTCGGTTTCCCTGCTAATCAGGAAGCCAGGTGGCCAGTAATTGCACGCCGCCTGGCTGCTTTAATGGGACTTCCGGTATCGGTATTCGGTATCGGTGAGTACCAAAAAAAAAAAAAAATATCGGTACTCATACTCGTTACCGAAAAAACGGTATTGGTGCATCCCTAGTGTCAATCTAACCCCTTTTTTTTATTTAAAGTACGGGAGGGTTATAGGTAAAACCCCTATCAGGTTATTTTTTGCTTTTTGTGTCCTGCTGGGGAGATTTCCCTTCACTTCCTACCCCAGCAGTCCAACAGAGAAATCTCTCCAAAGTGAATGGAATTCTAGTCTTAGAGAAGAACAGGGGTCCCAATGGGGGAGTTTCCCTCACCTCTTGCTCTGATGACAACCACTTTTTGGATTTTCCCTCACTTTTTGTCTCAGGGATAATGGTCATGAGGACAAAAAAAGGGGTCCCCCCAATTTGGACACAGAAAGCAAGAAGAACCTTATTAAAGTCCAATATGTCCCCCTGCACTCCTCACAGCGTCTTTGGCCAGAATCACAATAATGGTGCTTGCAGTGATACTCACAGATGGCGCCGTGCACATCAAACAGCAAATGTTCATTTGCAGCAAGAAGAACCTGACAATTGGTCAAACTCTTCAACACTCTACCGAAAACTAACACTTTTCTATTTCTCATGGAACTGGCATACCTGTGACCTTTGTGCAGCAGCAGGAAGGGGCAGTAATCTGAAAAACTCTGGTCTCTGCTCCGTTGCATACTGCTGTCAGTTTACAAGTAGAAATATGCTTACATAAGGGGAGAGCTCCTTGCTCTACTCATCGTGCTGCTGCTTCTTCATTGTCCAATCACATGCTGAGGTGATTGCAGGTTGTGGATCATGTTGTAGTGTTGTCGTCACACCCATGCTTACAGGAGGGGAGAATAGAAGGATAACCTCATCATTGTGTTCCTGCTCCTTCATTGTCCAGTCACAGGCTAGGGTGTGTCCTTATCTATACTGCAGTGTAGGTTGCACTGTACAGCATTGCATTCATGCCGGCATCACAAGACTGGGTGACCAGAAATATTAATAGTTTGGTAGACAAAACAGTTCATGTATATGAATTTCAGCTCCACGTTTCCTGCCGTTTCAATGGGAGGCAGTTCTATCCATAATCCACTTTTTAAATGATTCATTCTCCAAGAGAGGTCATACAAATGTGACATTGCTGCTTTCCATTGATTAGATTTTATTCTATTGATTGCTCAAATGTTACCAAGTTATTTAACACATTTCTAGATAATCTCTGTCTATAGGATACGTTTAGAGCCTGGTGGGAAATATCTGATTAATATTTAGTGTCCGCACCCATGGAAACTAAGTGCAGGTATTGTGTATGCACCGTACTGACTAGCACTGCTCAGATAATAGGGAAGAAACACTCTGTTACTAGTTCAAATATTATGGTTTTAAAGATAAAGATTGACATTATAACACTTCTTTCATTACAGCTGGGCCTGGATATGGAGGAACTGGAGGAGATAGAAGAGGACGCAGGTCTCGGCAATGGTGGACTGGGACGCTTGGCAGGTATGTCACAAAGACACAATGGGGTTCACTAGGGTGGCAGAAGAAAGCTTTGGTCTGCAGCCACATGTCATATTCTGAAGCTACACGTCCCATGATTCCTTGGGATACTATTGTAGTTTGTGGACAGTTCTTTGAATGGTGACTGGGGGGAATTCTCTGTTTTTTGGTCACCCCTCACAGCCTTTAGCTACAGGACCATGCAAATGTATACACATATAATACAGTAACGCCCAAGACTGATGAAGGGGCACGTGCCCCAAAATTGTGAGTAGAAGTTCTAATGTCTAGGTGGCTAACTCGGTCCCCCTGCAATTTCACCACCAGCGGCGTCACAAGGGGGGTGTGGGGGGCGGCTCGCACCCGGGTGACACCAAAATGACTGGCAGTTATTTTGGTGTCACCCCCTCTAAAAAGTCAGGCACTAGATCATGGACCGAGAGCCTGACAATGTCAGGAGAGAGGAGGGGACCCGGTGGCATACCTCATCCTGCCGGGTGAACGTCCCCTCCTCTCTCTGCTGGCGTCCATCAGGCGTCAATTAGGTCATCGCGCACGTGCCGCCCGGCCTCGCGATGCCCCTGTTCACTACTCTTTAGCAGTTTTTAACTCCTAGTATGATTCAGCATAATTCCAGAGCTTTCTCCATCATTGCATGCTATCTCTCCCCAGCCGGCATCTTTAGAAGTGATAGTTATGATATTTTTATGATAATCTGGCATCTGATAGGAGTTTATGATCTAGCACCCGATAGGAGTTTATTTACCTCGTTATAAACTCTGATCGAGTCACTGTTTTGCGAGTGCTATATATTTTTTTTACCAGTTAAAGGAAGTTTCATTTGCACTATCCGGTGCCTTTTGATCTGTTCTACTTTTACTTTTAAAGCAGAATGCTGAGAAAATCATTGCAAGGGTTAAGTGCACTGCAAGGGTTAAGTGCTCATTTTGGTTTAGGGAAAAGAAGAATAAGAAAGTTATACTCACCTGATCCTTGGAGCTGGCTGGCTGTGACAGCGCTCCCTCCTGCCTGTTGTTTTGATAAATTCTATTTTTATTTAGCACTTTGGTAACTGTACATTTGCAGAGACATGTTCTCTTTTGACGTATTTAATAGGCATAAAGCATAAAAGCAGCACTTGATCTCTCTGTGTCCCCACATCCTACATCATACGATGCCATGTCACGGAGTGGCAGAGGTCTAATAGTGGGGAGATGTCCACTTATATATAGAAGATATTTTTGTATAAAACTGGAAACATTCACTGAACTGCATAATAAGAGTTCATTTATATTGTGAAATTCTCTGATTGCTTTACTTTGAGAGCTGCTTTTGCTGAAGGGCACTTTGTTACCGTGCCAGCTTGGCGCTGTTTCAAACTACATCCCGATGACTAGTTCTGTTTTTCTCAGTGATGGAGGTTTTGTCCCATTAGCATTTCTAGACTTCCAACTGTAATGCCGTGGAGACGACCGTGAAGCCCAGAATGCGACTATTCAAGGCACTCTGTTACATTAAAATGGATTTTTTTCTGCCAAATAGAGATTTCTATTTCCCATCTGCTGAAAGTCCAAACTGACTTGTCAACCTATACATAAGAACACATTAATCCAGCATTCCCAGCAATTGTTACACTAGCTGTGTACAGCCCGGGGTAGACATACTGGCTGTGCAACATGTGTTTTTGCATAGGTAGCCCATTAGGGAAAGCAGCCCGCATGTATGTAGGGCGGCAGTGACAAATGTTGGAAGGGACCCACTTCAGCCTGTGTGTTTTACAGCTGTATATTTCCATCATTCTTTTATGTTCTCATGAAGTTGCCAGCATCTCCACAAATATTAATATTCATGAGAGTTCAGAGAACACTAAGCAGCTTGTTTGCCAATACAGATTATGGCCAGTGCTCTTTTAATGAACTTGCATGGTCGAAAATTTCCTTGCACCAGTATGGTCAGACATTTTCCCGTATGTACCAGTGATAGTGTAATAGCTTTTACCATGGATTTGGCACAGATTTCCTTTTGCCATTACTCACGAACATGTGAAATCATACACCGGAATGTCACTTTTATCCAGCTAGTATACTTCGTTATTAAAGGGTCAGTCCACCCAGAATAGCTAATATAATTACCGTTTTAAAAAAATGAAAAACCTGACTCACAGGCTAGACATCCCCACATAAAGACAATTATATCTCATTGCATATAGAGCAGGGGTGGGCAAACTGATATTCAATTCAATTCTGCCCAATCCAGGAGCCAGCAGGATTTTTTAGGAGTCTGCTCCATTGACAACAGCTAGAGAAAACCGCAAAAGTTACGCGCCAAATTTTAGGGGCATTGGCTACCTGGCTCCTGCAATTTTATCCAGCCCTGATATGGAGGCATCCACGCACAATTCATATCACCAATAGTATTATTAACCCCATAATGGAACGTGGAGAATAAAACCATAGTATAAACATACATTATACAAACAAACGTGTATAAAATATATAACCCCCCCACATTCCGTCTTTTAATGGCATATATGTCAACACGGCATCCATGTATCACTTAAGTGCATCATACTATTGTCAACACGGCAGCCATATCCTTTACAGTATCTGCCAAAAAGTCCCTCAAAATTCCATCCACATTTGTAGATAAGCATATGTCTGTTGTCCTGTCCACAAATAGTATATTATACTCAAACATAAGTGTCAAGAAGGATTGCATAACCAATACAAGACTTGTGTGCATCCCCTAATGGTTAATCCAAATCAGCCATATTCAAAGTTCACATACAGTAAATGACTGACTACACCCATATCAGGTTAGGTTGTAGCTGCATTTGAAATAGAAGGCAATGAATAAAAGTCTTATAGTGGTCAGAGTATACTCATCATTAGCTATTTACAGTCATTGCCTTATCTACAAATGTGGGTGAAATTCTGAGGCACTTTTTGGCAGATACTGTAAAGGATATGACTGCCGTGCTGACCATATCGATGCACTCAAGTGATACATGGATGCTTTTCTCTGGCAGGTACTATACAGTGTGCTGGCCATGCCTCCATCAGTTAAGTACTAACTCAAAGCTGAGCAAAATTTGTATCTACCTACAGCTGGCACCTTCTTATTACAAATCAGGATTGCTGTACTTTTTTATATCGTGGAAAACTTGATTGTGCAATTTCCATGTAACACTTCTATCTAAGTGACTTCTCACTGGCTAGGAGTATACACCACTCTGTCATATACAAATTTAAATGATGATACAGTGGTGTAGCTGGGCACAATCTGATTTGACATTAAACTATGGAACAGGGAGGTTTGGGGAATATCTGTTATATACATGTTTCTATAGTATATGTTTATACCATGGTTTTTATCCTCTATGTTCCCATATGGGGTTAATAAGATATACTATTACTGATTTGAATTGTGCTTGGTGGCCTTTATATGCAATTAAATATGTGGTAATTATCTTTATGTGGGGATGTTGAGTCTGTGAGGGTTTTGGTTTTTTTTAAACTATATGCCCTAATACTCCATATCCCATTAGTTAGTCAGGGGCTTTGAGTCTATATGTATATTGAAGGTAAATAGTATAATTTTAGGTGGGGCATGGTTGGCTGAGTCACCCCCTGGCATCTTGGATACTCCAGTCCACTCCACTTATCATGGCCCCAGCAAGCTTGTAGATCCAATGATTTAAGCATATATATCTCACCAGTTGAATCCCTGACAGATTAAAGATTGTCATGAGATATCAGGTTTTGGTGGGCGAACGCTTTAACAAAATAGAAATGACTGATGTGCTTTGTGTTTTCTTCATTGTAGCTTGTTTCCTTGATTCAATGGCTACTCTGGGTCTGGCTGCTTACGGCTATGGGATCCGATATGAATTTGGGATATTCAATCAAAGGATTATAAATGGATGGCAGGTAAAGACAAAACTCAGTGATTTAATTTATTTGTACTTAAAATGTTTCTTTAAAGTGGACCTTTACCCATATCTTCAAAATAACAACAAAGACACCTTCAGAAATGTTTAGTAATGACAATCTACAAACACATACTTCTAGATAATTCCAAGCTCTTTATTTTTTGCATACCTTATTTTTCTTTTCTTCCCCAGTCTTCTGACAGTGTCTGTTTTTACTAAAGGCAGGTTGCTAGATCTCCCTTTACTTCCTGGAACTCTGGCACATGTGACTAGGACATGTGACCATGTACATCATCTCAGGGGAGGAAAATGCCTTTCTCTGAGATGAGATTTGCTAGGCAATGCTCTGCTGATGTAACCCGGGATTCAATACTTGGGCACATTACATCACTTGTTACATAGTATTTGAGGTTGAATAAAGACATTAGTCCATCAAGTCCAACCTATTAGGATCTCATTCTAGAAGTACCCGTACCCCTGTATATTACGGTCCCTTAAGAATTGTGCTCAAGAAAACCAGGAAGTGAAAAAAAAGAAATTGCAAGTAAAATAAAAACATGTTTGTTTAACTAATGAACGTAAGATGATTTCATATCAGCATGCAGAGCTACATGCTGATGTGATTTTTGATCAAAGGGGGTAAAGGTCGGCTTTCACTTTGTTGCTTCCCTATATAGCTTTATATCAAGTGTTAAATATTTCTCAACTCAGCAATTTAACTATCACTATTCCATCATGTAATGGCTGTATGTCTTCTAAGGACAAACATAAAATTCAGGTCTCGACAAATCTGGCTGTTATTGTGAAAGCTGCCACACCTTAAAATGCACAGTATTGTATATTTCTAGTGACCCGTCCAAGCTGGTAAATACAGGCCAGGTGGCAACCCTATGTGAAGTAGAACTGTGGCCATACTATTGACATTCAAATATTTCTATATTCTTAACAAGCAGTAAATACATTTCAAACAAGCCCTGGCTGTCCTCTCTAGCTGCAGGACTTGTGAAGTAATTGCCCCTCAAATCTTGCAGTAGAAGCTTCATAATTTTTCTTTCTATTACTACTTAAAGTGACACTAAATCTTAAAAATGCATTCAAGTACCTTAACTATTAACAATACTGTAACCTATTTGTGTACCACTCAGCTGTAGATCCTCAAATAATCTCTGAATTGGTGCTGACACTGTCCTTCCTTCTGGAGGGTGGCTACTTTTGTTCCCCATGGCCCCTGTGTGTGCAAGCTTGCTCCTGTGACGGACCTTCTGGAGGGTGGCACTTTGCATCATTCAGCTGTAGATCTTCAAATCATCTCTAAATTGGTGCTGAAACTGTCCTTCCTTCTGGAGGGTGGCTACTTTTGTTACCCATGACCCCTGTGTGTGCAAGCTTGCTCCTGTGACGGACTACAATCTCATGTTTAGTTTACTAATTTCTATTGAAATTGTAGTCCATCATGGGAGTGAGCTTGGAGTGGTGGCTACTTTTCAATATACAAAGGGACCATGAGGAACAAGTAGCCACCCTCAAAAAGAAGGACAGTGTCAGCATCAGTCAGAGATGATTTGAAGATCTAGAGCTGAGTGATACACAAATGGGGTGGCGTTTTGTTAGCAGTTAGGGTACTTGAATGCATTTTTAAGATGTAACTCCTGAGTTTAGTGTCACTTGTAAGCGTCTCTACCAGCAGTGAATTGTCAGACCATCAGCCTTGTAATCTCTAATGTAAATGCAGAGCAAGTGCACAGGAAGAAGTAAGAGAGAAAAGTGTTGTGACCCAACCCCTGATGACTTTACTGCTTCTATTTTGAACTTTGAGGATGAATTGCTCCATCGTGGCTGTAGCTATAGAGAGCAATGAGGCCTTTTTTTTTTTATTTCAATAATTGTTATTGAGTATTTAGACATAACAGGTACTCAAACAAATAAGGCACAGAGAAGTATCATCAGAGGAAATCGTTAAAAGTATAACATCAGTCAAACAGGATACAGTGCAATCACTAGAGGTACAGGGACCAGTGTAAACAGTAAGGACTGATCTAATGAGGTAATGTGAGCACCTCAGGGGAGGATAGAAAAGGCAGGGAAGGATGAGGGAGGGGGAAGGGAAGAAGGATGAGAAGGGGAAAGGGTGAACATCAGGTACAATATGCAAACAGAACTGAGTGAATCACAACAAACAGTAAGGTTTAGTTAACCATTTATCCCAGCAATTCTGAAAAGAGGCATATTTATGGTTACTTAAGCCAAAGGTCTGTTCATAAGAGCATTGCAGGTTCACAGAAGAGATAACGTCAGAAATGGTTGGGGGAGAGGGGTCTCGCCATTTACGGGTTAGCAACAGTTTCGCTGCAAAAAGAATGTGAGCAATTAATGAGGCCTTTTTTTAAAGTCACGTACTGTTTGTTAAGAAATATTTATAGACCAACCACAATTGTACTTTAAGTGGTTTGTTGTAACTTTTAATAAACTTGCTCTTACATATTTCCTTATTGTTAAAATGTAGAGATTTGTAGGTAAAGGTGTTCCACATTTGACTCTTTCACCCTCCCTCCTTTACGGCCGCGATAGTTATTAGCCACACAGGGAGTGCATTGTTTTTTATACCTCAACTTACTCATAGACTTGCACAGGGCAGACATCAGAAATTTAGGGGCCCCCTACATGAGTTTAGGCCGGGGCTTCCCCCCCCTGCACTGCCCGGTTAGGCGTAACTAAAACCTTCAGGGCAAGAAACTATGAAGGGCCCCCCTAAACCCCCGCCGCCATGAAACTGTGTGGTTAACAGGAAGGCTGCCGAGGTCCCCAGCAAGCGCGGGACCTCAGGCGGCCGCTTCAGTTTAAAAATTCAGTGCCGGTGTTCTGTCTAGAACGCCAACCCAGTATCATGACCCAAGGTTTCCTCGATCATACTGGTCTGTGCACAAGCGCAGATGCTGAGGTCGGAAAATTCGATTACGTTGGTATTCTAGACAGAACACCGGTATCTGCGTTTAGTATCGGGGCATTTTGACGAGTTTGAATACTTGTGAATATGCCAAGTATAGGCACCGACTGGTGCATACCTACTTAAAAATATAATGTATTGCTGGAAATTGTAGTCCTGCATAGTTGGTGCTATTCTGCATTGCTCTATAATGATTACACAGCAATGCAGAATACCACCAGCTATGCAGGACTAAAAGTCCCAGCAATACATCATAATAAAAATCAGGGGGATGCTGAATACCACCAGCAGCCCCCCTTCCCGGTCCAGACTGACCTGACTCTCATGCTGTGTCTCTACTGTGTCTCGGCGGCCAGGTGGCGGGGCTAAGAGGAGAGGATCCTCACACAGAAGAATGTGCTGCCTGGCGGTGCCTGCAGTACATTCTGCTGGACCCGGTAGTACCGCCAGTGCTGGAATTTGTAGTCGTGTATAGCTGGTGGTATTCTGCATTCCTGTATAATCATTATACAGTTATGCAGAATACCACCAGCTATACATTTTACATAAAGTCAGCAATACTGCCACGCCAATGAAAGGGGGATTATAAAAAAAAAAATGAAGGAACGCTAAACTGTAATTAAGCAATTTATGTTATAAATGGTTTTTGCGCTGTGTTGGTGTTTGTGTTGTGATAAAATTATACAGGCGTATATTTAATTACAACACAAGGTATTACAACGCACGGCAATGCGTCACAAAGCTTTGCCATGCGCTGTCTCAGTTAAATTAATGTTTTTTTAAGATAGAAAAAAATCATGCACTGCGATGCCTTCTAACAACGCACTGCAGCACATGTGCCTGGCGTACACCACAATATGGTGCGCGTGTATGTTATGTGTGTGTGTGTGTGTGGGGGGGTGTATTATTTTATTTGTGCAGGGGTATTATTTTTTTATGTGTATGGGTGGGGGTATTATTTTATATGTACATGGGTAGTATTTTTTATGTGTAACTTGCGTTTTTCTGCAGTAGGAATCCCTAATCTGGTGTTTACAAGCAGCAGCTATCACCCATTCAAGTTAATGATCAGGTGACAGCAGCTCCATGTAAACGCTTGCACACCGCATGTAATATGTGATATGATTAAATTCGGTTAGGAATCAATCACACTCCCTGGATGCAATGATTGTGCATCCAGGGAGAGTGTTTTCTGACCGCATGTAATATCACATACCATTACATGTGGTGTGGAGGCGTTTACATGCAGCTGCTGTCAATTGCTGGAAATTGTAGTCCTGCATAGTTGGTGCTATTCTGCATTGCTCTATAATGATTACGCAGCAATGCAGAATACCACCAGCTATGCAGGACTAAAAGTCCCAGCAATACATTATAATAAAAATCAGGGGGATGCTGAATACCACTAGCATCCCCCCTTCCCGGTCCAGACTTACCTGACATTCATGCAGGACCCTCTTCTGTGTCTCGTCGGCCAGGAGAGGGTCCTGACACAGAAGAATGTGCTGCCTGGCGGTGCCTGCAGTACATTCTGCTGGACCCGGTAGTACCGCCAGTGCTGGAATTTGTAGTCGTGTATAGCTGGTGGTATTCTGCATTCCTGTATAATCATTATACAGTTATGCAGAATACCACCAGCTATACATTTTACATAAAGTCAGCAATACTGCCACGCCAATGAAAGGGGGATTAACTAGAGCGGTGGGGAAGGAACGGCACTATCTCGGGGGGGCTCTTCTTCCCATCTGCCCCCCCCAACTGGCGGAACGCCAAGGCCCGGTCGCAATTGCGACCGCTGCAACCCTGGTAGTTCCACCAGTGCTGGAATTTGTAGTCCTGTATAGGTGGTGGAAAGGGGGATTATAAAAAAAAAAATGAAGGAACGCTAAACTGTAATTAAGCAATTTATGTTATAAATGGTTTTTGCGCTGTGTTGGTGTTTGTGTTGTGATAAAATTATACAGGCGTATATTTAATTACAACACAAGGTATTACAACGCACGGCAATGCGTCACAAAGCTTTGCCATGCGCTGTCTCAGTTAAATTAATGTTTTTTTAAGATAGAAAAAAATCATGCACTGCGATGCCTTCTAACAACGCACTGCAATGTATTTACACACTAATTACTAAAGAAGCATATTAAATTCAATATAACTTCAAGCATATATTGTCAATGGTTACATGTATTTGTTTTATTGTGGCCAAATCTTCCTGGTAAGGAAATATTTGTTTGCTCTCTGTTGCTACAGGTGGAGGAAGCTGATGACTGGCTTCGATACGGGAACCCCTGGGAGAAGGCTCGTCCTGAGTACATGCTTCCTGTACATTTCTTCGGCAAAGTGGAGCACACTGCTGAAGGTGCTAAATGGGTGGATACACAGGTTTGTATCTAGAATTTGTAACATACTAGAATATTATTGGACAAATTTGCATATTATTGGACACATTTGCATATTTAACCACTTGAAGACCAGGTGTTTACACCCCCTTCCTGGCCAGGTCATTTTTCACTATTTAGCGCTGCAGTACTTTGACATTTATTCCGTCATGCAACGCTGCACTGAAATTAATGTTATAAAAAATTTTGGGGACAGGTAGAGCTTTCTTTTGGTGGTATTTAAATACCACTGTGTTTTTTATTTTTTACTATATTAACCACTTCCGGGCCGGCCGTAGTAAAAAAACGGCCGGCCCGGAGCTCTCTAGATCTGAGCGGGCGTCTTTAGACGTCCGCTCAGACACGCCCCCGGGCGCGCGCGAGCGGGAAACGGCCGAAATGTAAAAACAGGCAGCGGTGCCTGTTACCATACAAGCGATCCGCCGGCTGTAGAGCCGGCGGATCGCGTGTATGAGGTGCCGATCGGTGTCTCCGCCCCCCCCGTAAACTGAACATGAAATTATAGTATATCATGGGAGCGAACTTGGAGCGGTGGCTACTTTGTGCCTGCAGGTAGCTTAAAGCTGGGCAATAAATTGGAAAATGACTTTGAGCAATGACAACCATGTTACTATGCAATGTCTCCTGCTAAAAAAATCTTTCTCTCTATCCCAGTGAATTTCTATTTTCTCTGTAAGCTGTATGGTGCATGTGCCATACAGTGTACACACTCAGCCCATTCACAGCATCTTTAAGGGGCAGGATGTAACTCCTGTGCGCATATACTGTAGTTACATAATCGGGGCCACTCAACTGGCAAAATTCCATAGAAAAGTGTCAGCAGCGGAGATGTCGGCAGCTGGGAACACAGCAGGGAACCTAATACCAAAAACACAGCCTTCTCACAGCAGTTTACTTCCACTCTAAGGTAGCCCCAAATGGTCCAGGTAGCATATAGGGGCTGGGATGAAGCTGTTTATGACAACATGGCTACTCACCACAATTGTTCCACTTGGTATGCTAAGGTGTAACCTGCAGAAATACACCAGTGTAAAATAAAGCCACTGTGACCATTCATTTTTGGTTTGTATTTATTCACTATAATGAGCAGATTTTTCTTGCAAGCTTTTATTAATAATGTAAAGTGTTAAGAACTTTCTGTAATCTTTGCCACCTATATTATTAATAAGATGTGCTATTTTCTGTGTGAACGTTATTTGTACAGAATGTTTAGCTTTACATGGTAGAAACGATGAGTTTATCTGTTGATTGGATGGTCTTCTGTTCCCCTGCAGATAGTGCTTGCGATGCCTTATGACACTCCCGTTCCTGGCTATAAAAACAACACTGTGAACACCATGAGGCTTTGGTCAGCAAAGGCACCAAATGATTTCAACCTACAAGAGTGTAAGATTTTAATTTATTGTCTGCGCTTTTTATCAACATGTAATGAACATGGATGTTAAGCATGCAGGACCCAACGTGCGGGGTGTTCATTGAGGGGGTTTCGGAACAAAATAGGGCAGGAGGGACCAGGATGGTGGATGTGAGAATAACATGCAGAGGGCAAAGTCTAGAAACTCAAGCAGTAAAGGACTGGGGGTGCCACCTAGCAGTCCGACACCAGCAACAATTCCATTTGATGTAAAGAAGACAGTTTTAAGTCCCACACAGTGCCTGAAGCAGTCCAAGTGTACAGACAGCAGGCAAGAGTAAATATAATTGGAAATACAAGTTCAGCAGTCCCAGTGACCAGACAGCAGCACACACTCTAAAGAGCAGGGACAGGGCTGCAGAGAGCTCATCTCTACACAACCTTATCGTCCCTACCCTTAAGGCCCCGTTCACATTGAGCGATTTATCACGCGACAATTCCCGCGATATCGCTGCCATTTACCGCGCGATATCGCTCTCCAATGCTTCTCAATGGGGCAAAGGGTCCTGCTGTCGCGGGTCGCTACAGCAGGACCCTTTTTGGAGCGGATTTAGCCGCGATTCAAGCTTGCTCAATGCAAGCATTTGCGCGATATCGCGCAAAATGCAAATCGCGCGACAAACGCGTGATCTGCGAACCGCTCAATGTGAACGGGGCCTAAGGAGCTTGCAATCTAAGGTCCCTATCTCACATGCATACATACAGGGCCAATTTAGACAGGAGCCTACTAACCTTCTAGCATGATTTTGCAGTGTGAGAGGAAACCGGAGTACCCGCAGGAAAGCCACACAAACGCAGTGAGAAGATGCTAACTCCTTGCTGATAGTGTCCTCACCAGGATCTGTAAGGGCTGAAACTATACGGGACATTCTCATTTATCTGAAAATTTTGCATGATCGGTTGCAGAATCCTTGCTGTTGATTGCTACAAATTGCTAATTGCAGTTGTATAATTCATTGATGCTTCTTCCATTACTTCCTATAGGTTTATCTTTAGAAGTGGATTGACTTTTTCTTGACGCAGTTGAACTGAAAGTTGCCCTTATAGTTAAACCCCAGTATGTTTCACTTAGGTTCCCCCATGTTATTGAACCTTTCTTGATAGGGCTCTTTTTGGTATGGATCATGCACAAATATATGTACCTACTCAGTAATTTAACTGGACTCCACTGAAGAGCTCTGGTCAACACATGTTGCTGGAATGGCATCCCCTGATAGTCCACCCTTCACCACCTCTTCCCCCCGGCACGTTATGCACCACCAATCCACTCTCTTTGACCACCTCCCCACTCCCATCAGAGTTATCATACAATTTCCCAAAGGAAGCAGGATTTACAGGTCTGGGAAGGCATGTGATCTCCCCCATGTGGCTTGGGCCTGGCCTGCCAAACGCCAGGGCAAACGCTGTCGCATGGTAGGGGGACTGTGACTGGAGCTTATTTAGGGTGAACTTCTGCAGCCCGTGAGGGAGTATGGACCAGTGAGTATACCTTCATAGGGGGGTAAGCTATCAGGAGAGATTGTCACTTTACCCTGAATGGGAAAAGAGACCGTATCTCTTTTAGCTTCATAATGTGATGGAAATGTGGATAACTTTGTATCCAAGGGAGGTCTGCAGCCGCCTTGATTCACAGTACCTTCCTAGAGGGCTGGGCAGGGGTATACAGGAAAGTTCTGCTAATAATCTAGCCATTTTTCTATATGTCCCAGTGTTCATATTTATATGTGGCTTCCATAGTTTACATATTTATAAATATATGCAGCCAGGACTGCTTTTATTTTTATTGTTTTGGATTTACATATTTTGAAATACCGTATTTTTCCGCTCCATAAGACGCACTTTTTTCCCCCCAAAAGGAGGGGAAAAATGTGCCTGCGTCTTATGGAGCGAATCCTGACGCCCGAGACATGCAGTTTCGGGCGCCGGGCGAGTAGTAGGAGCCACTGCTCGTTTAATACGAGTGATCTAATGAGATCACTCGTATTAAAGCAGAGCAGCGGTGGCGGCGATCGAGTTCAGCAGTAGGAGCCACTGCTCGTTTAATACGAGTGATCTAATGAGATCACTCGTATTAAAGATCACCGTTCTTCGTCTGCTCTGTGTGATCACTGAGACCGTGGTGCTGTAATCACAGTGCCACCTGTCTCAGCGGTCACTAACTGCAGCTTCTGTCACAGCTTCTGTCATAGAAGCTGTGACAGAAGCTACAGTCTGTCGAGTGCTCCATAAGGCGCGCCGGACCTCCCTGCGTCCTATTGTCCGGTGCATCTTATGGACCGCAAAATACGGTATATGCAGCAAAATCATCCACTTGATTCCACTTAACTGGTATGCTGCCTGTCTACCTGTTAATGGGGTGAGGGGGGGGTCCAGCTAGGGAGAGAAAAAACAGGTGAGCGGGTTCTTAGTTCTTAGAGATCCTGTAGCTGGTAAGTTTTGGCCTGCGACAAGATCGGTCATTTGACATAGCCATTAATAAATTATTGAGTTAGCAGCTTGTCATGTTTCTCATTAGAAGAGAACTATACCTAGTAAAGATTCCCTGGGGGTTTTGCTGTTCTTTAGCCTTCAGTATGCAGTTGCATGTGTTGTTTATTACATGGAATTAAACTACCTGTAAAAAATGCTGACAAAAAACAGCCCAGCGCTAACTCACCTTCAGATCCTGCAAAGTACAGCATTGTTCAAGACTTATCAGACCAAAATGATAGCATCTTAATTGTACAGGCAGTATCCAACTTACATATATCCGACTTACATACGACTCCTACTTACAAACGGAGGCTATTACTGTACAGCAGGGGTAGTTGTGATGCTACCACACTTGTACCGACGAGGAGTGCCCGTCTTTTTGGGTCTGCTTCGTAGTACTGTACGTACATTACAGGAAGTTGGCTTTTGTTAGACGTGCAAGCGAGGGGTGCCAGCTTCTTCTTGTGGGTCACTGTGAGGTTTTTCCTGCTGTCTGTATCCTCATTAGAAACATTTAATCTCACTTCCTGTCCTTGAGACAACCGGGAGTGAGAGGAAATCTACCCCTAGGAAGGGAAAATCCCTCCTGTAAGAGTTATCATGGGGGAAAAAGGTGTCTCCACTGAAGCTTTATCATAAATCGTTGGTTCCACGACAATCCAAAATTTTCAAAATCCAATTGTCACAGGGACAGAAAGAGAGAATAAATTCTTCTGAACAGGAGCACCCACAGCAAAACAAACGTTACAGGGGGTTAACCCTTCCCTAAGCTATCCAAAACTAAAAACATTTTTTTTGACTGGAGTTGCACTTAAAATGTACCTGTTCCAACTTACATACAAATTCAACTTAGGAAAAAACCTACAGTCCTCATGTTGTTCATAACCCGGGGACTGCCTGCATATGTTTTACACAAAGTTGTTAGCATTTTTGAAGCCGAAAGCTGTTTTCGCGGTTAAGTCCAAAAATAACAGCAGTTATAATAGTGCCATTGATAGATGACATACAGAACGTTCCTTTCTGGTGGCACTTTCTGATTGTTCATGGTGCCATTGACATTTATACTGGAAAGGATCCTGGAAAGTGATGTCAGGCCTCTCTCCCTTTCCAAGTAAATCATTTGCACATAATTAGAGATTGTGCACTCAGCACAAATAATCCATAAAGCCAATTTAAATGTGTTTGGACATGCTACAAAGTGCTGGAACCAATATCGACCAATCACATTTTAGTTTACAGAAGTTCCGTCGATGAAAGATTAAGCTCACCAAACATGTTACAATCTGACTGTACAATATCCTTTAGATCTACCAACAAGGATGTAATGCAAGGGCCCGCCTGATTTGGCAGATCCTTGCACTACAAGGATCCTTGCCTGATGTAAAGTTGATTGTACGGTTAGTTTGTAATGTATATGATGAGCCTTAATTATGGAGCGAGTGAAAAACACATATCCCCATTATTCAAGCCGACACTGAAGCTGTCACAGGTCAGCTCTATTGATCGGGAAGTCAGTTCCCTCCCTCCCCTCTCCGTTTCTTTAGTGCTGACTGGAGGAACAGATGGATGAGGGGGCGGGCACAGCTGGCTCTGCTTCTAGAGAGGCAGAGCCAGCTGTCAATCAGCCAGCGGGATGGATCTCGACAGCATTGTCGGCATACGTCTTGGCTGTGGCGCGGCTCTGTGCTCTCAGCGTATCTTATATATACTGAGTTTTGGGTCACCCAAGTTAGTATACTGTATGTCCTCCTGTGACCTTGAAGAGAACTATGACCAAAAAGGGTTGGACCATAGTTCTCCTTTGAAGGCTGGTGGTAGATTTCTCCTCCTGTTCCAGTGACATCCATAACATGTTGGATTCCTTATTATTTTCTGTCCCATTGACAATGGTCACCAGGAAAAATAGAGAAGAAGAATCCCTCACCACCTTTTTACATTTTGGAAAAACTAGGTATAATGTCTGCATTGAAAGTAGAATTTTGCTAGTCATGATAGGAATCACCTGACCCTTGAAAGAATTTAGGGCCTGTTTCTGAATTTTACCGCACCAGTTGACCAGAGGTCACCGCAAGAACATGGTTATAGACATAAACAATTGTTTTCTATGTGTCCTATTCACACTACAACGTGGGTGCGCTGTGCTGTGATAAAATTTAAATATGCTGCACTTTATCGCAGCGCACTGGATGCCACTGCTGTGCAGGAACTTGATTGGAGTGTACGCATTGAACACTCCACATAAAGTGCACCAAAAAATGCAGTGACAGCTCCGTCAATGTGCGATACAATGCACACTACCAGAGCTGCCACAACACACTAGCCTGTCCACTAAAATACAGAGGCTAGTGTGAATGGGCCTTAAAGGAAAATTCCAGCTTTTGCCCACAAAAAAAAAAGATGCACACTTCTTCATTATAGAAAAAACTTGGATTATAATATTATTTGCATAGCAGCCAGTTAAGTATTGTAACCACGATCAATAGATGCAATTCTCGGGCTC